TGAACTTACGTCCCTGCAGTTCTGAATCCGCCCCGTCTTCCGAGGGGTCTCCCGCGGCGCCGGCGATGTTGAAGAGTTCCCGGGTTTCGGCACCAGATGTCCCGCGCTACCGTCTCGCCAGCAAGAACGACGCAGAACACTCGGATCCTTCTGCAGTAAAGCTTTAATGCATCTTGAGAGATAGATGATCAGCTTCTTAGAGGGAGACCCCAAGCTAAGAAACCCAGCCCCTTATATAAGCCTAGGAGCTCCGAGTGAGACGTGTAGAGCCGGGATTGGTGGTTTGCACATCACCCCAGATGACGCCACGGGAGAGGCACAGCTTAAACGGTTAACTCCAACTGACAGCAGATGTCAGCGCCATCTTCTAACGGCAATAGCGATAGCGAGGGCGGCTCCTCACAGGAAAATCTTTTCCCAACCCTTTACTTTGAGATACCGTTTGTCTTTGATGTTGAGATGTGTTTCTTGTGTGTAGCATAAGGATGGGTTCTGTCTTCGTATCCATTCTGCTAGTCTGTGTCTTTTTATAGGCAAGTTGAGGCCGTTGACATTGAGGGATATCAATGACCATTGATTGATGATTCTTGTTTGTGCTTGATTTATTGGTAGTGAAGTTATTTTGTGTAGTTTCTCCTCCCTTTTTCTTTTGGTGTTTTGTAAAATGGGATTATATATTGCCTGTGTCTTCGTGAATGTAGTTATCTTCCTTGGATCTAGGTTTTCCTTCTAGCATTTTCTGTAGAGCTGGATTCATGGATACGTATTGTTTAAATCTGGCTTTGTATGGAATATTTTGTTTTCTCCATCTATGGTAATTGAAAGCTTTGCTGGATATAGTAGTCTGGGCTGACATCCTTGTTCCCTTAGTGTTTGTAGGACATCTGTCCAAGATCTTCTGGCTTTCATCGTTTCTATTGAGAAGTCAGGTGTAATTCGGATAGGTCTGCCTTTATATGTTACTTGGCCTTTTTCTTTAGCTGCTCTTAATATTTTATCTTTATTCTGTAGGTTTGATGTTTTCATTATTATATGGTGAGGTGACTTCTTTTTCTGGTCCAGCCTATTTGGTGTTCTGTAAGATTCTTGTATTTTCATTGGCATATCCTTCTTTAGGTTAGGGAAGTTTTCTTCTATGATTTTGTTGAATATGTTTTCTGTGCCTTTGAGCTGTATTTCTTCACCTTTTTCTATACCTGTTATTCTCAGGTTTGGCTTCTTCATGGTGTCCCATATTTCCTGGATATTTTGTGTTAGGGCTTTGTTGATTTTGAGGTTTTCTTTGGTTGACGACTGTATATTCTCTAATGAGTCTTCAACACCTGAGATTCTCTCTTCTATCTCTTGTATTCTATTGGTAATACTTGCATCTGTAGTTCCTGATCATTTACCCAGCTTTTCCATTTCCAGCATCCCCTCGTTCTGTGTTCTTTATTGTTTCTATTTCAGCTTTCAATCCTTCAACTGCTTGAGTTGTTTCCTTCATTTGTTTGGTTGTTTTTTCTTGGTACTCTTTAGATTCTTTGAGAGATTTGTTTATTTCTTGAAAAATTTCCCCCATTTCATGGATTTTTTGTTTGTTTTTTCCTCGTTTCTTCTTTGAGGGTCTCTATCATCTTCATAAAATGATTTTTAAGGTCTGTCTCCTCTGCTTCATCTATGTAGTGCTTTTCAGGTCTTGTTGGCATTGGTTCCCTAGATTCTGGTGGCGTCATGTTGGACTTTTGATTGCTGAGTGAGCTCTTATTCTGTCTTCTTCCAGTGGGTGCTGGTGGGATTTATCTGTCTCCACTGGTCTCCTTCTTTCCTGAAGCTGAAGCTGGGATAGCTGGAGTTTGAGGCCTGGCTGGGGTCGCTGGAGTTTGGGGCTTGGAAGGGCTGATGTCTTTCCTGTGTGGGCGGGTCTTCTGGATGCCAGGAGCGGCCCGGGAAGATCGGGTGGAGGATGGGGAGTGTGTCCCCTCCCCAGACCCAAGCTCACCTGGCTGGCTGGGATCGCCGGAGTTTGGGGTCTGCCACACATTTCTTTTTGCAAAAAGGAATTGCCTTGCTGAATTACTGTTGCTTCTCTCATGGATTCCTTCGTGCGACATCAAGATGATTGTTTTTGAAATGTAGGGCCTTCAGTTGGTGGTTTCCACAGCTGGTCATGTGGGGCTTCTGTAGGTTCAGATGGGACTGGTTACCACAAACACCAGACATAGGATTAGTGGGCTCAATCTCCCAGATCTACTCATGGCCTTCAGGTAAGACATAGGATTAGTGGGCTCAATCTCCCAGATCTACTCATGGCCTTCAGGTAAGACATAGGATTAGTGGGCTCAATCTCCCAGATCTACTCATGACCTTCAGGTAAGACATAGGATTAGTGGGCTCAATCTCCCAGATCTACTCATGGCCTTCAGGTAAGACATAGGATTAGTGGGCTCAATCTCCCAGATCTACTCATGGCCTTCAGGTAAGACATAGGATTAGTGGGCTCAATCTCCCAGATCTACTCATGGCCTTCAGGTAAGACATAGGATTAGTGGGCTCAATCTCCCAGATCTACTCATGGCCTTCAGGTAAGACATAGGATTAGTGGGCTCAATCTCCCAGATCTACTCATGACCTTCAGGTAAGACATAGGATTAGTGGGCTCAATCTCCCAGATCTACTCATGACCTTCAGGTAAGACATAGGATTAGTGGGCTCAATCTCCCAGATCTACTCATGACCTTCAGGTAAGACATAGGATTAGTGGGCTCAATCTCCCAGATCTACTCATGACCTTCAGGTAAGACATAGGATTAATGGGCTCAATCTCCCAGATCTACTCATGGCCTTCAGGTAAGACATAGGATTAGTGGGCTCAATCTCCCAGATCTACTCATGACCTTCAGGTAAGACATAGGATTAGTGGGCTCAATCTCCCAGATCTACTCATGGCCTTCAGGTAAGACATAGGATTAGTGGGCTCAATCTCCCAGATCTACTCATGGCCTTCAGGTAAGAGAAAAGGGTTGGTGACTGAATTCAGGATTGAATGCAGTCATCAATAGTCAGTAATTTAATCAGTGGTGATTACACAATGAAACCTTCCTGAAAGCTTAGGAGAACTTTTGGTGTGTTTGGTAGGTGTCCTATGGGACAGACAGTCATTCCTACATCTTTCCCTTCTTGGCCCCATCCTATGTCCCTCTCTTTATCTGTGTGGTGTTTTGAAAAAGAATGCCCCACCCCACCCCACCCCACGACACATAGTTTCACAGATTTGAATTCTTTGTCATTAGGGAGTGGGACTACGTAACAGGAATTAGGAGATGTGGCCTTGTTGGAGAGGCGTGGCCTCTAGGGGTGGGCTTTGGGGTTTCAAAAGCCCAAGCCAAGCCCAGTGTCACTCTGTCTCCTTGCTGCCTGTGGATCTGGTGGTATTCTCCCAGCTACCTCTCCAGCACCACGTCTGCCTGAGTACCACTATGCTTTGTACTGTGATGATAATGGACTAAGCCTCTGAAACTGTAAGCCAGACCCAGTAAAACGTTTTCCTTTATAAGTGTTGCCATGGTCATCGTGTCTATTCATAGCAATAGAACATTGACTAAGACAATCTGGTTATTCCTGACCTGTGTTCTTCATTGCAAATGTATATTTGTAAACTAGGTGCTTGTAGTGATTTTTGTGAGTCATTCTCATGCCTTTAACTTGAAGCTGTTTCTGGAGTAGTCAGTGTCAAAGCCTGGGCTCTGGCAGCCCTGAAAAGCTAGGCTTAGCCACTTGCCCAGCAATTAAAGAGTCATTTAGTAGTGAAAAACAGAGAAAGGGTATTTATTCAGTGTGGCCACACTGGGAAGAGGAACAAGAGGACCATTGACTCCGCAGGTCCATCTATGAGGTTCTGAAAGGAGGTTTAGGCTTCCATAGGGGGCACAAGGTATTCACAGCTGAGTAGTCCTGGTCAAGATGTGGGGTGTCCCTCAACGACCCATCACTGTTTTTGAAATGTATCCAAATGTATCCAAAGGCAAGGTGGCGTGGTGAATGGCCGGCACTCTGTGAAATCTCCTCTTGTGAGGTTGTGTTGCTGTGATACAGACTGTGATCTGATCAAAAGCTACTTGTGGGGGGGCTTACTTCAGTTCACAGTTGCAGTCCATTTTGAAGGGAAGTCAGGCAGGAATTCAAGGCAGGAACTAAAGCAGAGACCTTGGAGGAGTGACCTCACTGGCTTGCTCACCCTGACGTGTTCAGCCTGATTTTTATACACCCTAGGGCTTACCAGCCCAGGGATAGCATCACCCACAGTGAGCTGGGTCCTCCCACATCAATTACTAATGAGGAAAATGCCCCACAGACATGTCTGCAGGCCATGCCAAGGGAATCTCAAATGAGTGCTGTCCTCCACTAATCACTAATCACCTCTTTCTAGGTGACCATGGCTTCCGTCAAGTTGACAAAAAAAACAAAAAAAACAAAACAACAGTTAACGAGTGTGGGAGGCTGTAGACTTGGATCTGGTATTTGAAGTTGGAACTAAAGCCCCAACTGATGTGTCAGGAATGGCGTGAGCTGTGAGTTGTACTGCTTGGGTCTGAGTAGGGCACACACACTTTGCTTAGAGTCTACACTGTGCTGGCTTGGAGCTTGACAGTGTGTGGCCAACTTTGTTCTGCACACTCAATTACTATTCCTTACTTACGCCATGCTGACATCCAGCTAAGCTCGGCTTCTGCCCTGTCCCGAGGCTGGGGTGGGTCACACCTTGGAAGAGTTCAGATGCATAAGACCTCTCTCATACCCCCGATGCCAGCCAAGGAGGCCTTTCCTGGTCCTGAGATCCACTGTGGTACTACAGTCTTGATGGCGTTCGGCTGTGACTCGGTGAGTTCCTCAGCATCCTACCCTCCCATGAATGCTCATCACCATTGGGGAATCACCGGGGATGCCCCTGGAGATCCTAGGGTAAGGCAGGCCCCTGCTTGCTTTGTCATTCCTTCAGGAGCTCAGGACAGACAGAGACATAGAGCCAAATGGATTTTTATTAGCAGCAGATAGAAGGCATTATGCTCTCTCTGGATCCAGGAGTGAAGATTCTTGCTGCACAAGCTTGGGCTGGTCACTCCTGGCAGGCAGGGGCCTCAGGGCAGTCTGCTCACTGAAAGAATTCCTCTGTAGGGGCTATGGGGGAGGGATGATGAGAGAGGGTTACCTCTGCTTCTAAGTTAGTCTAGGGACCCAAGTGGCAGGGGCTATGGGGGGTGCAGTCTGACTCATAAACTCACCAGGACCAACTGTGAGGGGTAAAATGGTCTGTTTTCCCACGCCCCGCTCATGGACACTCATTCCTACTGTGAGTGGCCATATTAAGTACCCAAAATCCTGAACGTCATGTATGTAGCTCAGCCAAGACATTCTCTTCCTACTCTGGGACCTAGTCCTGGGGGCTGTTCTCACATTGTGTCTGTTCTTGGGCCTGATGGAGGACAGGGTGATGGCCCAGGATGCCTAGGGAGAAATGGGGCTTCCAGGTCTCGGGCTGCTCACCTGCTTGTGGGTTCTGACACTTCATGGCACAGCCGTTCGTACAGCACTTCATGTTGCCGGTACAATCACTGTCCCTGGAACAGGAGCTCTTCTCTAGGCATGGCCCAGCAGGGAGCACGCGGACTGGACTCCAGGGGCATTGGCCAGCCTTTGGAACATCAACTGGGGAGAGATGGTCACTGTCTTACCACCCAAGGCCCTGTCAGGCCCCAGCTTTGCCGAGTCCACCTTACTGAACCCCTGACATTTGCTGAGGCCCTCCTCCTGGTGTCAGGCAGCACCCTTGGTGACCCAGAGACCTCAGGGAGCAGGTTGGCCAGGAGGCTGCGGGGAGGGTCTGGCAGATGAGCGGGTCACAGAGCTGGTGTGTGTGTGGGCGCAAAGGTCCTCTTCAGGCGGACCCTCCACCCTGCTGGCTCCTCCCACACCAGGGCAGGGCAGGGCCTTACCGTTGACAGGAGTTTTGCAGATGGCACCACAGGAGCTGAGGCAACGCAAGGCGTTCTGGGCACACTCCGCACTGGTGAGACAGTTGCTACACCCCGTCTTCTCACTGGCGCTGGCTGCAGCACACATAACTGCACAAAAGACGGGGAGGAACATAGGGGCCTAGCGGTCACCCTCACTTGTAGGGCTTCTCGGCAGACGGCCTGGAGATGTGGGTGGAAACTATAAGAAGCCTGGCCTCTGGGCAGCCTTCACGGTGGAAATCTCTGGAACCATGGCCTGGGTGATAGGAGCATGCTACAGGCTCACAGTCGTAGGCCAGCATTAAGGGCCTGACTAGAGGTGACCAGGGCCTGAGGGCAACTCCCAACAGGCCTTCTCTCACCCTGGACACTTTCCACCCAGGGCCGTGACTTTCTGCCATGCTTGGATTCGTCCCAAGGGGAGCCCTTTCATTCCTTGCCTCTTCATCACCCTAGACGTAGGGAGCTGGGATGAATCTGGGGGACTCTCTAAGCCACTCCCAGCAGTAAGGTGAACAGCTGGGGCCTACCTGAGTTGACGATTTGTTCCAGTGGATTCTGAGCAAGGGCCACCTCCAGGGCCAGCAGGCCGAGAGCGAGGCTGATGAGGCAGCGCATGGTGATGGCGGCGGCAGTAGGCAGGGAGATGGCTGGTGGCAGCCCGAGTGCATGCGACACATTTAAAGGACCCACAGGAGGAAGACTTGAGGGGCAGGGGTGGGGGAGCCGGCTGGCATAGCCCTAGATGGATTAAACACTTCCTTCTTGGACACACGGACAGAGCAGGCCCAGGCTGCCAGGAGCAAGTGCCACAGCGGAGGCCACAGGTTTTAAAAAGTGATCTTTAAGGGTGATCTTTCTTTTTCCAATTAACAAGTAATACTTGTTTATTATGAAAACGAAGGAAAATTAAGGAGCAGAGAGGGAAGAAATAGGATTCGTAGCAGATGTGAGGCGTCACTCTGAATGGTTGGCTTGGAACTCTTCACAGACAAAGGAAATTCTGAGCTCCAGACTTGCACACAATCACATAGGAAACAGTACAGGCAGCGTCGAGCAAGCCTCGGGTAGGGGCTACCTCAGAGGGAGACTTCGTCTCCTGATGCTTTACTAGAGTTTTCTGGAATTTTCTATAAGAAGAGGAGACACTTGCTCCTTGCAAGAAGGAGCTGCCCGTGCAGGGCACATTGGAAGGCCATTTCCCAGAAGGGCCCAGACCGTGCCAAGTGTGTCATGGGCCAGGATGGGATGTCCTGCTGGGCACTGTGCCCCATTGCTCTTGGGGCATTTCCTTGATTCTCTTGCAGGGAAATGTAATGACCCAGAGTGACCGTGTGCTTACTGGCTGTCACGGTGCCAGCCCCTGGTGCGGGCCATACCCCTGCAGAGTTCACTGGAGGCCCGTGGCCTCTCAGCTTTGAGTACAAGGTCTCAGCAGAAGCTCTCTCAGGCTGTAACCTCAAGCCTTCATCCCAGCCATCTCCCCCAGCCCCAAAGGGAGGCCGGAGCCTACTGCAGCCTCTCCCTAGTGCCCTGAGGCCTCGGACCTTGGCAACCACCACTCCGCTTTCCGTTCTGCCTTTGTCTACTCTGGCCGAGTCATGTAAATGGGATGTGACAGCATGCAGCCTGTTGGATGTGACTTTTATTACTGAGCATGCTTTTGAGGCTTATCTGCTGGTGGCAGCTGCCAGTGCTTCAGGCCTGTGTGCGGGCCAGCGTCCCACAGCAGGCACACAAACACTGTTGTTCCTTCTATCCCCAGCCATTCTCACATTTAGACCACCGTCAGGCCACTGCCATGCCGTGTCATTCAAGCCTAAGAGACACTTACGCTCTGCCAAGCCTCTGCTTCTATTCCTGTTCCAGTTTCCGCCTTTGCTGGCACTGAATGAGGGCCACCAGGAAAGGGCTGGCTAGGGTTTCTTGGCTGCTTGAGTTTCCCAGAAGGCCTCGAGTCTTGGGAGCCAGAGCTCTGTTCTGTCTGTGTCTCCCTGGTGCTCTGCACACATGCACTCAGTGTCCTAGGCACACTGTTATTGCTGCCTGTGTACCACTGTCCTTCTGTACTCAGTCACGGGCTCGAGGGGAACCACTGAGAATTCTTTTTTTTTGTTTTTTGTTTTTTGTTTTTTGTTTTTCGAGACAGGGTTTCCCTGTGGCTTTGGAGGCTGTCCTGGAACTAGCTCTTGTAGACCAGGCTGGCCTCGAACTCACAGTGATCCGCCTGCCTCTGCCTCCCGAGTGCTGGGATTAAAGGCGTGCGCCACCAACGCCCGGCTTCAACTTTCTTCCTGACCATAACTAACAACATTTTGTAGCCAGACCCCCTAAACAATGACAAATATCCATAACCCAATGAGTAACCAAAAGCCACCCACACCACCTCTTGGGAATGTGTGCATTGTGTTCTTAAAGTTACTTTCTGCTCTCCAGGGACAACGGTGTCTTTGGGGGATCCTGAAAAGAAAAATTTGGGTTAACTTTTTTTTTTAAAGATTTATTTATTTATTACATATACAGTGTTCTGCCTACATGCCAGAAGGGGGCACCAGATTGAATTATAGATGGTTGTGAGCCACCATGTGGATTCTGGGAATCGAACTCCTGACCGCTGGAAGAGCAGTCAGTACTCTTAACCTCTGAGCCATCTCTGCAGCCCCTTGGGTTAACTTTCAAGCTGTATCATTTTTGTGCAGTCAAAGCATAATGGGAAAGTGCAGGGCTTATCTCAAATCCTGTCTAGCGTAGTGGTCTGTGACACTGGATCATCTTGCTGGTCACCTTGAAATTGTTCTGAGCAGTGTTTTGCATTTTGAGACAGGGTTTCTCTGTGTTAACAGTCCTGGCTCTCCTGAAATTCACTTTGTGGACCAGGCTGGCCTCAAACTTATTGAGATCTGCCTGCCTTTGCCTTCAGAGTGCTGGGATTAAAGGTATGCATGACCTCTGCCCAGCTTGGATTCAATCTTCTTCTTGGAAACTCCAGAAAATGCCTTAGGTTAGATTATTTCTTTTCTTGGTAATTTTTTCCAGGTAGTTCTTCTTTCTTCTTTGGATAATTATTTGTCCAAAAGTCTTCAAATTCCTCAAGGTGTTTGTTTTTATTTTACTGTAAAAACAAAAACAAAAAACCCTTCCCCAACCCTAATCTAATCTTTATCATTTTTGATTTATGGCTTCTCCTGAAATTTTTGTTTATCTTCTAAAGCTCCTTTATCATCCAGAGCAGTACGTTTTCTTACAATAGGAATTAGGTTTTTTAGTTGCTCTTGGAAGGTGTTTCCATGGTGACAGGAAAAGGATTGAATTGAATTTGGCATAGGGGCTTTTGAGAGGACCCTCAAGGCATTTCCCGAAGGTAAAGATTACCTAGAATGTCTTTTGTTGACCTATATTCTTTAGTCTGATGCCTGCTTTTGCCTTGCCACACCTTCTGCATAATCCAGAAGGGAGGGGCATACAGTTTGGATTATGCTTAGAAAAAATATTGTTTCTAGGAACTCCCTGTTTACAATCCCTTTTTTAAGTGACACTGCCACCATTAAAACATTTGACATTTCTGTTTTTCTTTAAACCTCTTGAAATCACCTTTCCTATAATGCATCATTATGATCATGAGCTACAATATTAATTGTATCTTGGATCCAATCCTCCAAAGGTGCTGACCTTGCTTTTAAAGGCCTAATTATCCTTTTGCATTGAGAATTAGCATTTTCAAAAGACATAGTTTCAACTATTATTTTTCTAGCTTCTGTGTCTGATATCATTCCATTTATTGCTGGTGTCAGTCTTTGTAAGAAATCCATGAAAGCTTCCTTTGGGCCCTGTGTAACTTTTGTAAATGATTCAATTTTCTTTCCTGCTTCTCCAATTCTGTCCTAAGCATTCAAAGCTGCTGCATGGCATAAACCCAAGAGGTGATCATCATATAGCCATTGCCTTTCTAAGGTAGCACAATCTCCTTCTCTAAGAACTGATCTTGGGAGATATCTATACATCTAGCTTTAGCCTGTTGCTCAATGTTCTTAGCCTCTTCTCTGAACCAGGAAGTCCATTGTAATTGTGGAGCAGGCTGTAAAAGAGCTTTAACCAAGTCCATCCAGTCTATAGGGATAATTCTATTACAAACTGACCACATGTTTAACATCTTCACAAATGGGGAATGCATGCCATATGAGACTACAGCTTCCTTGAATTTCTCTAAACGTAACATTGTCACAGGCTTCCAAAACAGCTCTTATGGAACCTCTATCATTTGGCGTTTCTTGTAAGGTTACTGGATATATTAAGGTTGGTTCTCTTAAGACCATAGATTCCACATGAGGGAATGGGTTGGTTGAGCGGGGAGAGATGCAGGGGAAGAGCAATGAAAGATGTATCTTAATAGAGAGAGCCACTGTGGCTTAGGGAGAAACCTAGTGCTAGGGAAACTCCCAAGAATCTACAAGGAAGACCCCAGCTAAGACTCCTAGCAGTAGTGGGGAGGGTGCCCAAACTGGCCTTCCCCTGTAGTGATATTGGGGAATACCCCAACTTCATCACAGAGCCCTCATCCTGTAACTGATGGAACCAGATGCAGAGATCCACAGCCAAGCACCAGGCCAGGCTCCAGGAATCCAGTGGAAGGGAGGGAGAAGGGAGCATATGAGCAAGGTCTACAGAGACAGCTGAACGAAGCTTGTGGAAACTCATGAACTCTAGACTGACAGTGTTAGAGACTCGAGGGGACGAACTAGGCCCCCCACATGTGGGAGACAGTTGTGAAGCTTGGACTATCAGAGGGGCCCTGGCAGTAGGACCATGACACAAACCTGGTACATGAGTGAGCTTGCCGGAGCCCATTCCCTATGGTGGGATTCCATGCTCAGCCTTAATGCATGGGAGAGGGGCTTGGCCCTGCCCCAACCTATTGTGTCAGACTTTTTTTGACTCCTCATGAGAGCCCTTACCCATGAGGAAGAGTGGACTGGGGGTGGGCTGGGGGTGGGGAGGTGAGGGTAGGCAAGAGGAGGGGTGGGAGGGAATACTGTGGTTGGAATGTAAAATGAAATTTAAAAGAATAAATAAATTATAACAATAAAAAGGCAATTGAAGAATATACAGACTGGAAACAAAAAGACCTTAGAGTCCTTTTAACCTTGAAATGCAATGCTGAATTTGGTTCCCCATTAAATTCTTCTGTCTGGGTATAAATTTCTTTATGATCTGCTCTAATAAGTTTTCCTGAGGGCTGCATCTTGGCACTCATATCAACCAACTTTTTTAGAGATAAACCAAGAATTATCAAACCAAAAAGAAAGATTGCCAAAATAATAATTAATAGTATGTCAATCCCAGTTAAGTTGATTGTCCCTTAATTTACTTGTTCCATAGTTAAGCCATCCATTATATAATCATACAGAAACCTAACTCTCTCCATTGTAATTGTTTCACTTTTTTTTTGTTTTTTTTGAGACAGGGTTTCCATGTATTGCTTTGGAGCCTGAGCTGGAACTCTGTAGACCAGGCTGGCCTTGAACTCACAGAGATCCACCTGCCTCTGCCTCCTGAGTGCTGGGATTAAAGGCGTGCACCACCAATGCCTAACTTGTTTCACATTTTTAATGTGGGAAAAACTCTTTTTTAAACTAGTTTCTTCCTTTATGAATTCCCAGCAGACTTACTAAAT